ACCTCCCCCCCCCCCCGTGTCCCCACCCAACTTCTCCCCAGCGTCCCTCCCCTTGCCCCCTCCACCCTGGCAACCCTAGGGTCTGTTTTCTTCCTCTGCAAGTAGCTAGGATGTTTCTGAATGGACCTGAGCTGTGTTAATGACTCAGCCTGCATACACCAGGTGCCTGATCTGTGCTCATGGACATTCTTGGGCTGCAGGCTGTACCTCCCTGAGCAACACAAGGAGGTCTGAGCAGGGGCTTGGGGGTGGCTAGGCTGTCCTCTGGGGTATTTATGCTGAAACTGACCAAATGGGTGGAGGGTCCTCATGGTCTCCATGGAATGTGCTCCTCCGTCCCCAGCTGGCTGTACAAGGAGGCAACTGTGCAGCAGGTGGACGTGATACCTGAGGACGGGGCAGCCGATGTCACAGTCACCATCAGCAACGCCGCCTACGGCAAATTCCGGAAGCTCTTTCCAGAATGAAAAGACACCCTCGGCCAGTGAATCGCATTTTTCCAGCATCAGAGCAGAGTAGGCCACCTCCGCCTGCGTGTGCCTGGGCGTCTGCTGCCAATGGCGACACCACGGTGGGGCTGGTGACACCTCGGAGTGGGCGGCTGGAGTGTCAGCTCTGAACCATCCAGGCCAGCCATCAGTGTGTGGCAAGAACTGGTTTCCCTCTGGGATGTTTCAGTAACGAAGTATTAAAAGCTTTGTTCTGAGGCGCCTCAACTGGCATTTCTAGTTCTTCCAGCGCGTGCTGGGCACCAGGCGTTCACGGACTCAGAGACTGCCCTGCTGTCCCCTTGCTGGTGTCACGACACAGCCCAGAAAGCTCTCCACAAAGGTAAAAGAGAAAGAGAACCGTTTTATTATTGGAAAAGCAACAAACCAGGAACCCTGCTGAGAGATCGCAGAGACAGAGAGAATCTCACCTTCCTAAATGCAGGTGGATACAGCCCATCACATACACATTCATTGTCTTTACCCAAAAGAAAAATGACACTACTTACATCTTTTCAAGGAGTGGGAAATTACCTCTTAGAGCAAAACTGCAACAAAGGCAGGGAGATAGGGCCCCACTTACTACTCACGTTGCACAGGAGGCTTCTCGGCTCCAGGAAAGACATTTGTGGGATGCACAGCTGGCCCCAGGCTCGTTCAGATTTTAAAGTGATCTGCAGGGTCAGACACTGAGGGAGCCCTGCAATGGCACGTTTTCCAAAGGAAATGCCTGAGAGAAGTCGGGTAGTGTCCTTTTTCCCTTTTGGCACTAAGGAAAAATCGTATTTTTTTTCTTAGGTTTATATTCAGCTTATAGTGGTCAGTGTTTTTGAGTTCCAGAATTCAGCATTCAGGGATAAGTTAAAAAAACAAAAAGAAATCTGTACCCCTCTCCTGAGC